GATACGGTCATCCAAAGGCCAATTTATTCAACAACGTGCTCCCATGGTTTTTTCGGATGTTACTTCGTTACCACCTGCTAATTTCGAACGTATTGTTGTTTCGAATCTGACAAATATAGATCAAAGCACGTCTTCTTCAATTGATGAACTATCCATGACAAATTCATCTCGTTCTATTGGTATTGAAGCTGATCTCATTACAGGTCGTCAAGGTGAAGAATTCGTTTTTCGTTATCTTAAATGGAAATATCCTCATGAAGAGATTAAATGGATCAATCAACAAGGAGAATCAGGTGGACCTTATGATATTCATATGATTATTAAGACAGAAAATCATCGAGAAGAATTTATTGAAGTTAAAACAACTCGATCCTATGATCAAAATACATTTCCAGTATCTATTGGTGAAGTTGAATATCTTCTTCAACATCCATCAAATTATTATATTTATCGAGTTTATTATGCAGATAAAATTGATTCATCAACGATTACAGTGATAAACAGAATCAAAAGAAATTTGCAACAAAAACAGCTTAAGCTTTCTATGAGTTTTGAATCTAAACTAAATGATTAAAAAACAATGAATTACACTAGTTTTTTTTTATAATTATTGATTAATATCAAATAAAATAATATGAATATTCGGCAAAGTATCTAGCATTTAATTCAAAAAATATGAAATCTTTTATTTTTCAGTGCAAAGAATAGAATCTTACAATATTATAAGTTTTGTAGAAAGAATAAAACATTTTGATTATTTTATGATTTAAACAAATTTTTTTCTTTTATCTCATTCATCATATTAAATCCTTTGCATTTTAATCTATGGAAACTTTTTTTTTCAAGAAAAGACCACATCTATTCCAATACTTCAATCTTGCACAAAATGTTATATTATAACTAGGGATATCCACCCATATAATGAAAACCTGGCAAAAACGGGCGGTTAACCATGGTTTACCGCTAAAACTGATCCGGTTTTCGTGACATGAGCAGGCTTTGAGGAATAAGAAGCCATGGTTCCTAGGAATGGAACCATAAACTCATGCCCCAAAATCTAATAATATATTCGTATAAATTGTAAACAACAGAGGGCATGCCAAAAGTAGTAACAACGATATTTTAATTTGTAATAAAGAGCTGAAAGAAACTTTTTCTCTATATGGTCTGATATTAGAAACAAAGCTTTACATTTCTGTGATAATTGATGATTCTTCAACTAGATTTATGCAACTAATGTCGAAATTTTTATTCTTATGAAAGTTCTGATGCCTAAAATTGCTATCGTCAAAAATTGAAACATAAACACTCGATTACTAAAATGAATATGATGCTATGGATCAATCGTTATAAGGCATAGCAAGATTTACGTCGGGGTATTCTCTTCACTTACCTTATCACATTTCCAAAAAAGTTGATAAGAAACATATTCATGATTCAATTTGAGTTGTTCATTTAAATTCTTTCCGTTTTTCAACTTTGCTCTTCATAAATATTTTTCTCATCCATATATATTCTATAAATGAAATAAACATACAGGATTCTTTATTATCCACTAAAAGATAATGGGTAGTCGTCAAACAAGCGAATAATACCAAATCGAAAAGTGATACCACTAGTAGATAGAGCTCAGTGAGCTTATTCTACGAGCACCAACGAACACCCAAAATGCTTAAATATAGGAGTGATTTTCCAATGTACACTTTTTTCGAATCAACGAAGACCCATGAACACCCATATCTTTTGACAGTGAGTGGCCCTACTTGAGTTCGGTACATGCCAAAAATGTCAGCCTTTTTTGAGATATGTAAATTTGGTAAAATTCATAGCGCGATCAACTACATTGTTGATGGCATCGAGTGATGCTGACATACATATGTAAGACTCATTTAGCAACGTAAATACTGAAGAATTGAACATTGATTTAGATGGAAATTTTCGTCTAGTAGTGAGTGATATTTCAGAAGCATATACCAATGCTGAATCATGGCAAATGAGATGAGATCTAAAGGGTGGTCCAAACATTTCGACCCCTATCAGTAAATCGATGATATCTATAACAAACTTATACGAAGTTATTGATCAAATTATGTCATTTTATAGAGAAAGATTAGAGCTATCAGCTAAAAAACAATAGTTCGAAATACCTAAATCTATTAAAATCTTATGGTCATTTTACCAATCTTGAGAGAAAATTTTTACGTTACATTTTTTGAAATAAACAAAATACGTTTGTAACATCTTAAGTGTCATACTGTTTTCTAGACATTTTTCCACGATTCGAGAGAGTTCGATAAGCTCTACAAGAATATGTATGTTTACAAAGCTTTTGATCTTATTTTGAATATGAATCTTAAAGGAAACCAGAAAAACTAAGAACAATTTCATATATAAAATATTAGAGAGTAGGTTGATTTTTCAAAAGTTTGAGTTGGTTGACTATTCCATGTATTCAGGTAGCTCAGAAGAGTTATTTCCTGCTTCAGTGTGTAACCCTGCATCTCGAAACATCAATTAATAGTCGATCAGCTAAAGTCTTTGGGACTTAAGCATACTATCTCATGAAAGCTATGCAAGATTTTTATTAGTTTGCGTGGTATCATTCGAGTTTTATGTTGAAAACAGGATTCGAATTTTTCTTGATATTCACATTTTTCTAATGCTTTTTGACCTCTATCGAACTATAAAAAAATGTCTATTAAAAACATGTAGAAAATAATATTTGGTTCGACTTTAACGACTCAAACATTAAAAATTTCTTTGACTATTTCAAAAAATGTAACGCAAAAGTGTTCACTCAAGATTAGTCAAATGACCATAAGATTGTAATAAATTTATGTATTTTGAACTATTTTTTTTCCAGATGAGAGCTCTAATCTTCCTCTGCAAAATGATATGATTTGATCAATAACTTCACATAAGTTTGTTATAGATATCATCGATTTACTGAGAGGCGTCGAAAACTTTGGATCACCATTTACTTTCAATTGTTCCATCGAAAATATCGTTAAAGCTCATGCAGTTCTTCATACCAGGTTTAACTAGTTACAGATTTTCTGTTGCATGTTTGCATGCTGCCAAATATGGTGTCGATTCGAGAGTAGACACAATTCCAAAGGTTCTGCAACGATTTGATGATCATCAAATCGCTCACTTTGTTGACTTTATTGTTTCGCCTCATGTGTGTATAGATTTGCCTTGTGCTGAACAAGTTTTGAAACTGTCGTCAGGAATTGAACTGTACATTCCAAATATGATAAGTAACATGGGACCAATTCATATTATTGATTAGTATCTTGTTTACTGTAATGAGATGTGTTCGCATTTCGAATCACTTGGTAAGAGTAGCCTATTTACTATTTTCGAAACATGTAAAGCATCAACAAGAAAGTCTTCGCAAGGTATCAACTACTTTGTAGCTGAAGCTGGAGAAGCATTTGACGATACAGGAAAAATGAATAAAGAAAACGCTATGCTATGTACTGAGAGTGATCGATTTATTGAGAATTTAAAACATGCTTGATTTTATTTGAAATCTGATTATAAAGTGTACGTAACGAGATCGAGTAATGTCGCTGATGATTGCTCCATTTATATATTGAGTGATCCAAAACAACGTCATTTTGCCCAAGGCTGTGATCATGAACACGATGAATCGTATGTTAAGTGTTCGAATCTAACGAGCACCCTGAATGAAATTGAACGACTAATCGAGAAAACCGAAACGAAAGAAGACTTATTGGATCGAGCTTTGAAAAAATACCGATTGTATTATGAATCTAATGAAGAATGGTAAGTTCACTTATTGAGATCTATCAATCAAGATTTGTGTCGAGAGTACTTTCTTGAACAACTACACAATAATGAGATTTATCTCAATCTTGATTGAGCCATGAAATTTCTTCTCATCAAAAGTCGAGAACCACAGTCAGAATTTTTCGATAAACGAGGCATCAGTTGGCATATCACTGTTGTTATGCAAAAAACATGTGATTGTAGAAAGTAATAGCAACTATTACGACCAAAAGAATGATTTCTCAGATGATAGCCAACAAGTCAATGAACATGAAATGACTGATTAATTTCAAGAAAATGAAGATGATTACAGTACCAATCATCAAAAAGAGACAAATTCTTGTAATTATAAGGTCTTCGTACATGTTTTCGATTAGTGTACGCAGGACAGTGAAATGATCCTCGCTACCTTGAACGACATTTTATGCCGTATCAAGAAAACTGATCCACAGACAGAAAAAGCGTTTATCCGATCAGACAACGCAGATTGCTATCATTCGGTAAACACACTTGTGTCGCCCAAACAAATATTGGAAAAGGCAAGCATAGCAATTAGAAGCATTGATTTTTGCGATCCACAAGGTGGCAAAGACTCTTGTCACCATTATGCTGCTGTTATTAAGTCAAATATATGCCAATATTTGAATGAAAATCATAATGTAACATGTGCTTCTGAGTTTGTCGAAGCATGCCACTCGCACAAAGAAGTGAAAGTCGTTTTTGCGCTTGATTGTTAGATTGATAATATTGATCGTAAAAAAGAAATAACGTGTAAGATAAAACAGATATCGGATTATTTTGATTTCGAGTATCAAAGAAATGGACTTTTAGTACATCGTTCGTGGAATGTTGGTCCTGGTCTTTTGATATCATGATCACAGTTGAATCGTAGGTGACCGATCAATTCATCGCGTTCAATTCGCCGCAGAATATTTTCTTTCGTTCTGTTCGTCGCGAACAATATCGTTGCGATCAATATGTCGATATCGCTCTTAATTACATTTTTTTTCAAAGATGTGAAATTGATCAATTAGTTCATTTTTATTTTGTGTATTGTACTTATACATGAGATAACGATAAACAAATTATATACAAAAAAAAGAAAGAAAAAAAAATCTAAAGAGTAATGTTGACTGCGATATTTTTTAAGCATTGATCCAGTTCAGATGAGTCAAATGCGTTGACCAACCGAGTAATTCGTCCGTTCAATCTTCGATAACATGCTTTCTTCGTCTTTTGATATCGTGGCCTTGGAGAATTTTTGCGATGTCCACTTCGAATTTTGATTGTTCACGACGAATTTTGTCTGCCAGTTTCACGATGTTTGGATGATTGATTGAGGCGCGATTGGCAAATGCATTGTGCCAGCCTTCCACTGAATTATTGGATCGAGGTACACCAGCGATTACACGATTGTGAATATTCCATAATTTGTGATCAAATTGAGGTTTCTTCCGACCAGTTCCTAAGATTATCAAATACATTTAAAATTTCTCAAGAATGAAGAAGAAAAATTACCTCTTCGTTTTGGTTCACCAATCCAAGTTTTTTCGAAATAATCGAGTAAATCGTCGGTGTCATCGTCGAATTGATCGGCAATTAAGTCAAACGCAGTTGTAACTTCATCTACTGGAACAAAAGCAAGAGCAATTAATTTTTTTATATTTAAACAAAAAGACTCATCTTCTCTATAGTTGGTTGCCAATCCTTTGTTTTGAACATGTCGCCATACTGCTTGTGAAAAATGAAAGAGACATCCTATAACAAACATTTTAATTATCTTTTTTTTGTGAATAGACTAGAACGTACCTTTGTGTAAAACATTTGGTAACATCTCTTTGACTGATTTGATTGTACCAGTTTCGAAATCAGTCATAATTGATTCAGGTTGAAAATTGTCTTGTTCAAATAATTTTTCGAAGAATTGATTGTAATCATCGCTGCTTTTACCAATTAACAATCCATAGACGAGAGGAATAATTGCATTCGTCATCATTGCATGTAATGCAAACAGTTGATAATAATTATCCGGACACACCTACATCAAAGATAATTAGAAAAAAAAAGATACACATTCAATGAATAGCTCACTTTTAATGCTCCATCAGCGAACCAATTTTTGTTTTGCTTCAGAATAGATAAATTGTTTTTTGTTGTAAAGATAATTAAATGTTCGTCGTCGTGCAAGATAAAATCTTCATCACGATATGTCTTTCTTAATTTTTCTGGTAAACGACCATTGGCATCGAGTGTTTCAGCAGTACGTTGTCGTCGAACTGTGAGTGTAAGTGCGTCACTTCTTGGAAGTTGACCAGCGGCACTTAGAGGATATGTTCGTAAGGCCGAATGAAGAATTGAGCTCGATGATTCATCTGTTGTCGCAGCACAAGCTTTAATTTCATTCTTTAATTGGATAGCTGGAACACGATCAGGTTGTGGAGCATGACCATGTGATGTTGGTTGAGAGAGAAACACGTCCATGGATAAATTGATATGACAACGTGCTTAATTGATAAATGGTTTTCATTTTAATTAATTGATTGATGATAGCCAAAGTGAATTTACGTTTACAATCACGATTCTGACATCGAAAAATCAATTTCGTCGTTGTTGTACATTCTACAGTGTAGATGTAACTTTCGTGGAGGAGCATTGGTTTTCCTTTTTCAGAAAGAAGTTTCTGGATTTGAGACATTTTTTGGAAGTGTTGTGTACAGCAAACGTTTAGATTGAGAAATGAAATATATTTTCAACATCATCAATATTTGTTTTTTTTATTTCCCGGTCACATAATGAAGAACATTGGATCAGTGTTATCGTTAGTCTAGATAATATCGAAATTCATTAAACGATTGACAAAACTAATTATTTTTCGAAAACTTTAGCTCTATCATGACTACACGTGATTAACATGTTCTATTGATCCGTTTTTCCAATTAAAGTTATCATCTTCAGTGCAATCTTTTCTTCAGTACATCTTTCACATTTTTTCATTCTTTTTTTTTATTCGGATTGGTAATACAAAAAAATTATTTAAGAGCGAGATCGACATATTGATCAGAGCTGCCGGCCTGGCCTGCTGCCTGACAGGCACCGGGTGGCCTGCCAGACCAGGCCATCTGGCCAGGCTGAATTTTAAAATTTTGGCCTGGCCTGATCCGTCCATATAATGTTCAGCCTGGTTAAGAGGCCAGGCCAGGCCAAAATGGGTGGCCTGGCTGCGATATGATATTCATTTCTCTAGTAGTCATCTTGAAACATGAGATGATATCACAAGTTGATGATTTTGTTCACTTTTAACTTCGTCATTCATAATTGATGAATAGTATAGACCACAAGAGTAAACGAATTGAATGAATAAAGGAGAGGAGACAATATTTATGGTTGATTTATTTCAGCGAAAATAAAGTAAACAATGATTTTGTTTAATTGAAAGACAAAACACATTTCTTTTTACAATTTGTTTTTATAGGCAACAACTTAAACAAACAATGTCAACTGGACATATTCATCGTTTATCAACATCTTCTACTTCATATATTTCTTCAATGTCAATTGATGATATTCATATCTTATCAATCTCTCCTGCTTCATCTATTTCAACAACAATGTCAATTGATGATATACAGATTTTATCCACCTGTCCTGTTTGATCTACTACTACATCATCAAATACAAATGTTTCATCATCTTTTTCGTCAAACTCGTTATCATATTCTAGTGAACGAATATGTTATTTATTAAAACATGAAAAACAACAATATGATATTGTTGATAATAATAAATCATCTCCTGTTGGTTCATATTGATCTATTTTTGGATTTATATTTTCTTTTAATTCTTCGTCGTATCCCGAATCATATGTTGTTTTTGTTATTATACTTAAATATCTTTCGATTATGCGAAGAAGTACTGATATCATCAAAAAATCTTGTAAATTCAAGTCTTTCTTGCATGAAAAATATTTAAGATGATTGTCTCTTTGTTTTAATTTGCTATTTTGTGCAAAAACTTGTTATTTCATTATCTTCATGAAAATAAATTAAATAAATAATTAAAATTGGAAACATGCATTAATGTAGAGTTATGGAATTTAATGGATTTGAAAAATCAGAAACATCAATTGGCCTGGTTTGGCCTGCAGATCAGATCAGGCCAGGCCGGAAAAAAGTGGCTTGTTGGCATCTCTGATATTGATCGCAATGATATTGTTCGCGATGAACAGAACGAAAGAAAATATTCTGCGACGAATTGATCGCGACGAACTGTCGGGCGACGAATTGATTGCGACGAATAGTCGTGCGACGAATTGTACTAGTGCCGAGTTTATGTATTGGAATATGAGATAGGATTTTTTCTTTTTTAAATATATTTTTTGCGAAGAAATTTAAACCTTAAAGAGAGATATATTCTTTTTTCAGTGAGTTCAGATGTTTTAGAAAATTGCTAATGTCAAAATGAAGAATAAAATACTTTTTTGTGTCACGCAATGGGAGTTTTACCTTGTTAGTTGCTAACACTAAATATATTCGAGTCAAATTACAGCTCTGATCGCCAAATCAAAAACTTAAAAATATAGGTTGTCATTGATATACAGGAACCCAGATATTCGATTTTTTGGCTAGTTACAATATGGATAAGATAATCGCAAAACAAAGTTTCAGTAGATTTCTTTTTCTCCTCGTGTTGATTAGATAGAGCTCCCCAATTTACATACGAAAGAATGCGTTTTAAATTAAAAACAATGTTTTCAAAAGTTAGAATTTGGATTCTATGCTCTCACAAGTTGAAAACCGATTGTATCGTGGATGGTTTTGTGAAATGTTATCCTTTAATTTGAAACATACTTTTTCTTATGTGAATTGAGTGGCTCTATTGAAACGTGGCGCGGTGCCAGCTTAAATTTTAGTCGAGTATGCCTAGTCTGAGCAATTAACAAGATAGACACCTCCATCGATAGTCCTTTCATGCGTTCGAGTTAAGAGAGATGGAAATATATGCAATTAGACTATAAAAATTTTCGTATTTTCCGCTCGTTCTCTTCTTACTGCAGCGGTATAGGTTTCTGTTACGAATTCCCAGCCTTAATTCAACAAGTAATTATATTTTACTTTCAAAAACGTATGATGTTCTGTTTTTAGTCTTTCCACAGGTTCGTCAAGAAAGAATAAAAGTTATTTAAAATGAGAACTTTGAAAATTTTCTCAAGTATAAATAAAATAATGTAGTAATTTAGATTTTTTTATTTCCTGTTCTGTCATTTTATGTTAAGTAAGCTTTCATATGTAATCGAAAATGCAATCGTTATGCTACTTAGAAAAGTTTATACGAAAAATCTAAATTACTACATAACTTTATAGATAATCGAGAAAATTTTCAAAGTCCTTATTTTAAATAACTTTTATTCGTTTTTGACAAATCTGTGGCAAAGACTAAAAACAGAACATCATACCTTTTCGAAAGTAAAATATAATTACTTGTTGAATTAAGACTGGGTATTTGTAGCGAAAGGCTATATCTTTGCAGTGGGAAGAGTAATATGAACAATCGTGAGAAAAATTAGCATAATTGGGCGTGTATTTTATGTTTTTAAGCGCGTTTAACCGCTAAATATTTTTTCAGTTTATTTGCGACAAATATTGGGCATTTCTCGCCATTAATATTCTTAATGTCAAAAATCTGTACAAAGGGAATAAACTCCATACAAAATGAGACACTATTTGTTCAGCCACAGTGAGTACAAAAAGTGACATGTTTGTCTGATTGGGGAGCTCTATCTATTAGTGGTATTACTTTCCGATTTGGCAGTGTTTGTGGGTGTTCGCTTGTTTTACAAATACCCAATACTAATTTGTATTATTTCGATGTTTGAATAGATCGACATTTTTCTTCTCTAACAATGTAGGAGTTATCTTCAATAAATATCATAATAATGTAATCTCCAGAAAAGCTGTTTGTTATGATATCTGGTGGAAATATTAGAAAACATCTTGTCTTCAATACGTATGCTTGTCTTGATGTTTTTTTTGTTATTAACCCTAGCTGCGTAATACATATTAGATTATATAAAAGGAATGGTGTCGATGGAACTTAGAATAAATGCAGAAACAACTTTATTAAAGATTCGAAATCATCCTTCTGATTATTCACACTTAATTACATTTTTTAATTTCATTTATGGCACATTATTTTAATAATCTTCTTTCGTTGAGAAAATTGATCAATTGTTTTATCAAAACAAAGAGCTCTTATCGAAATTTTATTACTACGATATTAGTTGAACAATGATCTAATATCACAGAAATATAAAGTATTGTATATCCTATGAGACCATATAGAGTGAAAGTTTTCTTAAGTTTTTTTTTTAATAAGCAAATTAAAAACTTCTAACACTGTTTTTGATACATCCGAAATAATAATAACGTTACTTAAATCTAAGATTAAATCTAATAATAAATGCGGAAACTTCGGATTTAAATCCGAGAGTTATGTGTACTTCAAAAAGTGAATCATACAAATCAATCATCCTAGACTGTCTGAATATCAAAATTATACTGTGAAATCTACCATTTAAAATGTTGATTTCTATTGCGCGTTGCCAAACCAATAGGACATGGGACCGAATACAGCTCAAGTTTGAACTCTTTCCCTTGATTTACCCTAAGAAAGTCGTTTTTCCTATAATTTCATTTCTATTGGTCACTGCACAACTAATAGTATTTCGATGGAAGTGCAGTACACATTCGAGTTCTCCATATCTGAAAACCTCGAAGTATCATCAGTGTGACCAGAAGATAAAGCTCTATTTGTGGATCAATTAGATCGTGGACCAAAATATAACCTAGTTCTCTTTAATTATCCTTGTCATTGGTAAGTCAACCTTCTTGTTTCTTTATGCTTTATATATCATTTTGTAGTTCTTGAAATTCTCTATCGAATGGTATATAATAGTTGGGGTTTTAATTGACTATGATAGGAAAAGTCTTTTACGAAAGTCGCGATGGGTCCATTTTTCCACAGAAAGCTATAGAGAAAAATGGGTATTTTTGCAATAACTCAGGAACGGCTCGGCCGATCGTTCTCATCTTCGAACTCGATCGAGACATTGTCAAGACTAAGCTGTGTAGAAAGTTTCATCGCAATCTGACTCTGCTGTCAAAAGTTATCATGTAAACAGCCAACCGGACGGACGGACACACTGACTATTCTATAGTGTACTCACTTTTTGAGGACACAAAACTATGATTCAGTTCAAAACTAATATCAGATTCAGAATCAGCGTTAAAAACTGAGTCGATTTATATATTTTGTGAATAATTATGAGCAAAAATGTTTTTTTCGAAAAATCTCCGTACCCCCCCTCAGGGGTGGTCTGGTCAAAAATCACAATTTTTTCGATAACTCAGCCATTTCTTGGCGGATCCTTCTCATATTCGAACTCGACCGAGATATTGTCAAGACTAAGCTGTGTAGAAAATTTC